CTACTTTGACCTATTGAGTACTGTAACACATAACACAATTATATGGAATACCAGTTACGTTAGAAGTTTATTTCTTTGACTGATAAAGCCGAGGCCAGAAATAAACTTGTATACTAAAATGTATTCCATAAAATTACGTCTTGTGATATACCCATTCAATTACTAATTGCCATTTAAACAATTTATTAGTACCCCTATAATATGTCTAACAATTCTCATTTATGTCAAGGCTAAGGTCGGAGTTTTTGTAACGCGAAAATGGCACAGGTACATTAATGCAAATAAACGAAACAAAACTTTATTGATATTGATATTGAGAGCTTCATTTTTTAAATGTGTCGTGTATATATGTATATACAGGTATCGATTCAATGGCGGACCCCTGTATAAATGACAATATAAAATATTAACCTATATTGTTCTCTTTCTATGAAACGTGTAAATGCAATGAAGTGGGGTTTAACACCTTACATTGCTGTCCTGAGAGGCTAATGAAGACGTATGAAACGTGTAAATTTCAGGTTTTGTGGTTTGGTGTAATGCAGCTGATGAAATCGAAAATTATATTCAGGTTCAGATATGCCACGCAAAAGTCATCATTGACACAGCCATTTTTTACAATTTTCTCGAAGGAACTACCCGGGAACCCTCTAACCAAATATCCGCCACTGTAGGAATTTGTATTAATCTGATAGCCTAAGCGGCGAAAACATGTTTTATTGTTAATGTTATATCAGGTTATTTTCTCACGCTACCATATCAATTGACGGAGTGCTCTATGGTTCAACAAATATATTTTCAACGCCTGTACACGCTCATACAAAAAAGCTTCGACTGTTAAAGATTTATAGCTTGAATGTGATTGTTCTTTTACCCTGATAAAGCAACCTAAAACACTTATCTAGAATTAACAATTACGGCTGGCCAGAATATCTACGTTGTCCACAATGAAAAGATACATTGTGCGCATTTCATACACATAATATTTTCACCATTTTTAATAGCACATTTTATTGAAATATAATTAATGACACCCTGTGTACCGTGAAATACATGTGGTCAAAGTGCATAGGTTGCTATTAACGCGAATAACGTGTATTATAAATGGTGGGGATAACATATGGAAGCACCGCTGCGTAACATTCTAATCCACCATGTAACCGCGGTAAACAACCATGTGTTAGTCTCAAAACGAACTATATACAGAGTAGACGTTCCTTACATCGTGGTATCCCTTTAAAGGGGGTAGGTAATTTGTAGGTGTGTTAATATAAATCATAATTAATAAGATCTATTGGACTTGTTTGTTAGTGTATATGGTCAAGGTTAATCCCTGTATCCGCCCGTAGTCAGCTTTGATCACAATAATAAAATACATTATCGTTATTCAAAGGTGTGTTTAAGTAAACAGGTCGATATAATAACAAATAAGCCACACAGTTCTCCGCTAATAAAACATATTAATGTTAAATGGTCAATGTACACTTTGCAATATAACGAATGTATGGAAAAACACCCACACACCCACAAATTAGGGACTACCATATGCTACAATTTCATTTAACTAATTCTCTTGAACTTTTATGATCTTTATCAGTCGGAGGAAACCGGTGGATTTCAATAATTCATTCGCTTGCAGTTGGAGGCAACCGAGAGACACTAAGAAAACTTCCCGGGTCCTTCAGTTCTCTACCACTGCTAAAGACTCCTAGTTTATATCGAGTACACCTTACCACCACCCCCCCCCCCCCTTCTCTCTCTCTCCCTCGCTCCCCGAATAATTCTAAAGACAATCACCATTAATATACACAGTCCGTGTTCTTCACTGACTAATTGACCAGCCTCCAGTGTATTTTTATGATTTATAACCGCCAGTTCTGTTTATGATTTAGAACCGCCAGTTCTGTTTATGATTTAGAACCGCCAGTTCTTTTTATGATTTAAATTTATTTATAATAACCCGAAGTGTTTTATTTTATGTTTTATTTTATGAATAATAACCTATAGTGTTTTTGTTATGTACAATAAGATTTTTTGCTAGGATTTGTCTTAAGGGGTCAATCCATTAGCGTGACTCTGTCTCTAGTGATTGTGGTGCATTCATCTGTTAGGGATTGGAAATAGATTAGCTGGACGTAAGACACCAATTGAACGGAAATGAAGTTCGCCAACTGACTTTCTGTATCGATAAGTTCCTCAGCATTTTCCAGCTTGGTTTCCAACCTATCTGTGGTAAAGGATTGTGAAAATGGTGGAATACAGGATACATCATGCAGTCGTATGGAACGAAAAACCGAGGCCCCGTTTACACATTGACGTGCACGTAAAAGAAACCTAGACAGTTGTAATTCGATATAAGAGTAGGAATTATCCCAGTCGGTGCAGAAAAGTAGGATGTAAAACCCAATTTCATTAAAACCGTCTCATTGACAATGATTAAAGCTATGAATTGAAAGGAGACTTAAGCGAAGACTAGTGGTATATTATTCATTTTTCCATTGCGAAATAAAAATAGTTTTCTTTTGTATGGCTCATTTGATTGTGGATTCTTAGTTTCAAAAATAGAAATAATCCTATTCAATTTTTTTTTTTTTTTTTTTTTTTTTTGAGATATGAAAGGTGATTTCGGATTCGGAACATGATTTAATATAATACCCGATTATAACCACTGTAAAACATATTTTGTATGCAAACATTACATTTCAATATACGTAAACTTATCAATTCTATCTATACATATTTTCTATTAAACATTGATCGAGTAGACGTTAAGGAGCTTAACAAATGAAAGACGTTTATGGGTGTAACTAAAGTGATCTTCGTGGCCTTTGAATTCATCTTTTAAAAATATGCCCTTTAGTTCACCATGGATTCCATGGGTGACACGGTCTAAGGTGTGTGATTTTTCTCAAGGTTATTTGGTCTGTTTATTGCAGATAGAAGACGAATTTACTTGAAGAGACGAGGGGGGGGGGGGGATGGCTGAATGGTTAGCACGCGCGTGCTGTATCATAATGTCTGTCATTGAGTCAACTGGCGTGGTTTCGAATCCCCGGTTGTACGTGACAAGGAGTAGGGTCGCCTGTCCAACCTCGTGGATTTTCTCTGGGACCTCCGGTTTCCTCCCACTGCTAAAGACCCCTACGCGCAAGCGAATTATTGAAATAAAATTAAACCATATGTTAGTCCCGAAATGACCTAGTTTGTGTCGAGTGGACGTTAAACCCCATTTCTCTCTCTCTCTCCCTCTCTCTCTCTCTCACTTGAAGAGATACCATTTTAAATTACATGTATTGATCCACAGCCATCTTAACATCTGTAGATGGCCGAAACTTTTACATGCCATGTGTCAATTTGTTCACTCACGAATTCAGATGCGCCCATGGACAGTGGACGATTGCAGAACAAAAGTTCATCTTTCCTAGTTTGATTCATTAAAAATACATTATGCAAGAGCTAAATCTGCCAATTGCAGGTCTTTCTTTGGACCTGAAATGTTATCTAAATTATTACTTATCCAGACCATAATCAACTCTAGATGGTATCCCTAGCCTGTGATATTTACTGGATTAGAACCCGGTCTGTTGCTTCTGATTAAATTAAAAAATGGATAATCGAGACTATGTTTTTTTATCATACCGACTTTAGTAATGATAATCGAGGCTAGACCCAAAATTCAAATTCCCTTTACATTTTCTAGTTTTTAACTATTAAATTGAGAACTACTAGCTCTTTATCTAATCTCCATAATGTATCTTTAAGCAAAGTTTTAACTGGAAACAGATTAATGTGAAAAGGATAACATTCTCTAATTGGGGTTTACATGCACGAAATATTAAAATCGCTAAAAAAAAATGAGTAGGTTTACTGCCTTACTGTTTTTTATTATGACATAAATGCAATGCGTCACTTAAAATCATCCATTGTGCCACCTTTTGCGCATGCGCCGGATGGTCATCACCCCCTGTTCTGTGGTCTCATTAACAGATTCACATTTTGCAAGTGCACATAGTCATTAAACTGTTACTATACACGGAATACAAGTACATTACCGATAAACGTTTCGACTAGAATTCTCAAGCAATGATAAAATTGGTAGAGTAATGATTGGACAAATGGTATCTGAGTAAAACACAGTCACATTATTCTATAGAATTGTGTCACGTGTAATCGTTTACTAACTTTTGGTTTTAACGATAACGAATCATTGGTCCACACCCATGACTTACATTTTACATGAAGAACAGAGGTGTTTAAAAGCATTTTACAACTACTGCTAACCCTATCCGAATTGGGGATCCGATTCAAGAGCCGAAATTTACTATTCCGCACTTTATCATAAAAAATCTACAAATAAAAATAGCCTATGTAAGGTTAAACCCCACTCCTTCCCTTGTCTGCGATATCACCTCGATGGAAGCGGACGTAAAATACAACTAACTCACTCCCTCCCCTACCTTTATGTTCCTTTACTTCCTACCCCTTTCCTCTTCTTTTCTTCCCCATTCCTTTCTATTACTTTCACTTCCTTCCTATCTATTTCATTTATATTCCTTTACTTTATATCCCTTTCTTTTCTATTTCTTTACTTCCTACCCTGTTCCACTTCTTTTCTTTCCCTTTCCTTTCAATTCATTTCATGTCCTTCCTATCCCGTTCCTTTACTTTATATTCCTTTCCTTTCTATGCATTTCCTTTACTTCTTATTCCTTCCTACCCCTGTCATTTTCTTTTTATCCCTTTCCTTTACTTTATATTCCTTTCCTTTCTCTGCATTTCCTTTACTTTCTATTCATTTCCTTTCTATTCATTCCCTTTACTTCGTATTCCTTCCTACCCCTGTCATTTTCGTCCTATTCCTTTCTTTTACTTTCCATCTATCACATCTCATTTTTAGTTATCAAATAATAACATGCATGCACTCAGTTGCTCGTATAGGGTAATAAAATGCATTTTATCTACAATGTAAATTCATCTAACGTACATTAACTATTTTCCAGGTTCGTGGACGAAAATTTGAAGAAGCCTTCAGTCGTACCCCTAACCTTTAATTGATTAATTCGTTTCTTTCGAGAAAGTGAACAGGTTTGTTGACAACCATATTATCCGAAAGTTTGATTTAATGTCTTTCTTTATTTGTAACTTTGTAGCCGATTATGCTTAAATAAATGGGACGAAGGGTATAGCTTTGTTGGTGTTAAAGAAACTGAGGTGGTGATATTATATGAGGTTTTATGTTCGTTCTCTTTAACGTTTTTGTGGTAAAAAATGTCCCCAGGGGTTTATAGCACATACATCATGCCACGTCTAGCTCAAAACATCCCCACGTCGGTGCGTAATACAATTCGGCTAGCCATACCTCCTTTCAAAAAACCTTAAAGTTAAAATGAAATGCCCTAGGAAGTAAAGTCTTACTGACCTAGAGATTTTTTATTTGCATAAGAATATTATTAGTTCATCTTTCAGTTCGATTTTACACAAAACCAGAAACAAACGGTTACTCATACTATTGAAATTCTCTTACAAAGAAAGTTCAATTCAAATATTATGACATTGAATACATTCACATAGGTTTGGCGATGATGCATTGAACTGTTGCTTATTCGGATTCGCTCGATTGAACACTAAACGGGTTTATATTCAATTAAAACAAATCTATTTGAGAGCATGAATAGGGTACTTGATCAAGTAGGTTAACTAACCTATTTCTGATACGGAAGATACAATATTAAATATTTTCTTAGTCGTCTCATCCTACTAATAATTTCTGTACCAAACAAATTAAGAAGTGATGGTAACCCGAGAAGTACATTTCTAAAATGTACTATTATAAGTCAAAGTACCAAATTTTCTTGAAGGACATTATCTCCTACCACCAGCACCCAACCAATTAAATCCTATACTCCCTACCTCATACGGTATGTCATTGAGTCAACTGGCGGGGTTTCGATTCCCCGGTTGTATGTGACAAGGAGTTGGGTCGCCTGTCCAACTTCGTGGGTTTTCTCCGGGTCCTCCGGTTTCCTCCCACTGCTAAAAAGACTCCTACGCGCAAGCGAATAATTGAAATAAAATTGAACCATGTGTTAGTCCCGAAATGACCTATTTTGTGTCGAGTGGACGTTAAACCCCATCTCTCTTCCCCCCCCCCCCCCCAACCTACCTAAAACGCCGACATATCAAGTCACTTTTTGTATTAGAATCATCGAGTTTTTGCTTAATTTAAATTATGTCTAGAGAGTATAGTTGGCATACAGAGGTTTGGTAGGGTTAGATCTAATTGATAAGGCCAACTTTAAGTTTGTTCAAAGATCACGAGATGTAAACAGTGCTAGCGCTAACCCTAACCGTAACTCTGGACTTAGCCCTAACGTTTACCCTAACCCTATCCTACAATCTCGCCAACAACGTGTCCTAACCTTATTTACATCTCAGCGATCTTGACGAAAATTGAGTTGACCTTAACAAATAGATATAGCCGGTTTGGTAATGGCTGGGACCAACTCCTTATCTGTATGCACCAAGACTCAAGTATGGGATTTAGCACACAGAAATGTGAGAAAGGTTTTAAATATGTAAAATCACATTAAATAAACGTTTTATTCACAAAGTTTACAGCGCTAATTTCAAATTTCTAAAAGCTTTAATTTTACTCTTTAAAATGGGTGCTCCACTAAACAGGATGGCCTCAGGGAGGAAGGCCGACCAGTTAAAGGTCGTGCTTGAATATATTGGGCGCAATACCTTTTGTAGTATACTAAATTTTTCGAATAAAACATATTAAATGTATCTAATAGGATGGTTTGTTCTATTGAATTAGTCAAGTATTTGAACCTATATTCACATGACATATTTCGTATTAACATAAATTCTTTGGATACAACCCCTTCTCTGTGAAGCGATTTTTGGCTTTGGGTTAAACCACACCCTTTCTTTACAATGTATTCATGCCAATCGTTTCAGTTTACACAGAAACACTTCAATGTCCTGTAATGCTGTTTAATTACGCTTCCCTAAAAAAAAGTAATAAGTTGTTATTGAATGGTAGATATCGAGAGCTATGTGCGCTGAAATAACGGATTAGGATTAGGATTATACGAAAATACGGCTATAAATTAACTTGATTATTGGAAATCCTAAGCTACGTAATAATACCGGAACAATCCTCGAAATAATAATTACCATAGAATAGAAATAATCTCGCGTATAGATTAACGTACGTTCGTATAGCTGTAATTCCTATAACATTATACGCACGAGATAGATTAAATACCTGCGAGTGTTATAGATAATATCATAAACGATAGAATGCCAATAAAAAACCGAAAAGGGGTTGAAATGTGTTTTTTGATTTAGAGACAAATTATAGGACAGTTCATGTAGGGTAATAATAGATTTAAGAAATATCTCAAATTAATTCAATATTATATCAATCATAAAATAGTTACTCTATAGCCATACAACAAAATGACAATAAAAAATACGAGACAGGGCTAAAAAAAAGTGGGATTTTGTTTAATATTATTTATTATTATAGTTGAATAAAGATGGCAGCGGGAGATCAATAAAAAAAATTCAATAGATTTGAAATTGTCAGACGCTCCGTTAGAATTGACAGATTTGAGTAATTTGTCGAGTTTTGGGGGGTTTTGGGGTTGGGGGGGGGGGGTGGGTGGGGGGGGGGGGCTGTGCAAATTGGGCCTTTATTCTGGTGAAGTATATTCCTTTAATCCCTATCCTAGGTGGGGTGGAGTGGGGGTGAATATGTGGATAGGTGGATTATTTAACATACCAGAAAGGTTTTGAAGTTTAAATTCATTTCACTTCCTATGACTAGGACTTGTGCAATATTAAATTTATAACAGACGAAAAGTCACTCAAGAGACGTTATATCGCACAAAGAAAGGGTTTGTCATATATATATATAATGTTAATAAATATTCATACATTCGTACTATATTGGTAGTATTTTTTTTTATGAATGGTAAATAAATCTATTCTACAATCACGAGTTGTACATGATACGGATTTACTTGTTTTTTATTAACATACAGCGAATGGTCATAATGAAGGGTGGGGTCGTTGTCGTGACGAAAGACACACCTAGGTAATGCACTGGCCACAAAAGCCTTAACATATTGATATATCACCCTATTGAACAACGATAAAAATGAATATTTTGAGCGCATATTTACCCGCTTTTAATAGGTTGAAATAATATTAGCTCATTATTATGTAAATGATCCTACGTCACTATGAACGCATGCGCATTACCGCTAATCGCCCCTGTGAATGGATTAAGTTATATGTATATCGTTGAGATCTATATCACAACAAGTCTTAGTGTTAACTATAGGATTATAGCGGTTGTAGATTTCTCCGTTGATCGTAGAAAATAGGCAATGCAGGCACTGCCTATGTGTGGGATTATTAATATACGTTATGACATTCTATTTAAATACTGTTATACGGAATTTACAACATAATTGGATAATTTATATTTTCACTTTTCATAGAACTTTCGATGAATTTACGGATTATACTTATAGTTAGTTTCTTCGTAAACATTTTCGGTAAGTAAATAATAATATCTTATTCCATAGAGATTTTTTCTTTTTTTTTTTCTGTATTCTTTTTTGATCTTATTTAATTTGTAAAAATAACGGACCTTGTTCTTCACTTTTTTCTCTAGTCCTAATTTGCTCTTTACTTTTTTACACAATTTTTTTTTTTAAATTGATACGAAACTATTATTCCTTAATTTTAATCGTTTATTTTTTTGCGTTCAATTTCAATTAACAAATTTATAAGTAATAGTTTGTTTGTTTTTATTCTGTCATTAAGTCAAAGTTGTAATAGATTTCATTATATATGCTTAAATTTGCATATTGTTATTTTCTGGAGAAAAAAAATTAAATTAATTAATCTTTTACAATTTATCTCTTTAATTCTACCATTTCTGGCGTTTTAGCTGACCAATCGAAGTGGTTTATACACGATGACGCCAAGGAATGGAATGACGACGATGGCGTCGATTTTATGTCGAAAGAATTACTCCTACCGGTTAAAACAAAAAATACACAGGAACCGAAACCGGTTAAAGTAACCAGGCCCGCCAAGCCCCAAATTAACCAATTAAAAACAGGTACGTACGGAAAAAGGATGTCAGGTTGAAATATTTGTGATCTTTCAAATGTCACAGATTTTAAATGATCTAAAGATGTTTATTGAACTTTCGGCTATAACAAATTTTAAAACTGAATTTTTACAAGAAAAAGATGACTATCTAGAGTAGAGTCTTGGAGGTATCAGTGAACGTTACCCCAAATTAGAATTTTATAAAAATCCTTTGGGTATGAATCTTTCCCTTTAATTAACATGTTTTAGATTATAATGACTGTCAATGGTTCAAGTGGCATTGTCCTTGTGTATTAAAAGCTTGTGCGTAACACTGTGTTGGATCGCCATCCCTACCTCTAGGTCTTCATTCAGCCATTCACCCCCACCCCACTCCGACTGTTAAAGAAAGCCTCGTATGCACGGATTATTGAGAGAAAAATATACATGAACGCTAATAATTTATTCAAGTACTAGATAGATACGGGTTTACGTATACAATACACACGGTCTTCAAAATAGTGGATTCACTATACCTAGAACAATTCAGAAGGCCCTATGCTTTTAATACTAACCTATTCATTGTTTCATTCCTGCCATTTCAGAATGTTAGTTAAGGTTAACTCATATAAAGGTACCGGAAGTCAATCTTTGCTAAAGTCTTAGTTTTGAGTCTATTACCCAGGCGGTTGGCAGTTGAAATAGTTTGCGGTGTAGAATCATGTTTCACCTTTAAAGTCCACACATAAGAATAGATGATTTTGTATCTTAAAAGAATTCTGATCTGCATAAACTTCTTAAGAGAGAAAAGTGTGTCATTGGGTGTTCTGAAAAGAGTGCTAATATACTTTTATTCAAGGAATGTTATAATTAACTTTATCTATTTTTTTCAGAAACTGTGCAATCAAAGCCCGCAACTGATAATAAAAAGACAATTAAAAAGGCTTCCAATGTTCCAAGTGTAGGAAAGCGTAACTTAGTTATAGACGATGACGAACTTTCGTCACACGAGTTTATTATTGTAGATCATAGTAAAACAAAGCCAAAACCCTCTGCCAAAAAAATACCAGTCAAATCTCAGTCTGTCTCATCTCATAATGGTAAGAATTAATACACTTTAATAGAATACTCTTGTAGAATATATTGATTGCTTATTCTACACATCATGTGTCAATTACCGTTCCCATATTTCAGCGGTAGGCACTGAAATGAAATATAATCTGGATTTACGTCATGCTTTTCGTCTCTAATCGGATTATTCAAGACGGGTACACCCCCTACCGAGTGCTATTGGGACATTTTTGCCAGGGGCTCTTCGACGTGCTGCTAACGTGCAGACCTCGGCTTTCTGTGCCATCTGAACAGCTAGACACCGTTCCTTGTCCGGCCGCCTCATTGCAACGCTGGTAATATGAAACAACGCCACATAATACCGAGGTACGTTCTCGGCCTACACCAGAATCAAACCAAGCACCTCCATGTTACTTATTAACCACCACGACTCTCTTCAGCTGTAGAAAATCGTCATTATGGGAACAACTATAATAAGGTCTAACCGTGTGCAAATTGTTGTCCACTAAAGTATATTATCCACATGTTCGTCTCAAAATGGCATTCAACCCGATGCGACTTCAAGTTCTCATTGTAATATTTCGCGAATAATTCTCCCGGGGATGACGTAGCACGCCTGTTTTCTGTTGGAATGAAACGTTTTAATATGCCATTTTGAGTGAGACTCGTTGGAATTTTGCCACGTCATACTGAAGCTAACTAGTTACTATGTGTATGCTTACGTGTTCAATACGAGTGTGCGGGGGTGGGCTGGGTGGTGTTGCGCCACCGTGGTTCAGTTACCAGGATTCTCCAGATTTGATCCCGGTGTTTGATCGAGAAAGTTCCTCATTTGTGCAGGACGGAAATGTTTTTAGTCGAAAAACTATGGTCCCGTCTACACATTGTCTTGCACGTAAAGGAGAACACTTTAAGCGGAAGCCCTGCTACCCGGGCAATATGTCCCCTATGGCGCACGGTGTCGTCTTCTTTAGGTCGATTGGTGCACGTTACATTCGACGTTTTTTTCGATATTTTCTATATCGGGAATGATTCCGGATATCTACCCGTGACTGGTAGTTTCATGCACATTCGTTAAGAAATCAAAGCGTGGGATGGGATGAGCGATAAATGATATTTCTATTTTGGGTGGTATTATATGCACACAAATCACGACGTCGCTTTCTTTCTTTGATTCCTTTATGTTTCTCCACTTATCTTTCAATATGAAGGTCCAATCCTAGACCTTCGGTGGGTGTTTGCCCCATACGGCAAAGAAATGCACTATCAGTGATAAATAAAAACTTGTAAAAGGGCTTTTGATCAGTTGGTATTTAATTACTATGCGACAAGAAATATACTGCGACATCTGGTCATTCGCAATTATCGCAATATTACAACATTATTCAGTAACTCCATGTTCAACAATGAAAGGTGTAAGAGATTTTATCCCAATAATCCCGCTCGAAACGGCGGTGTTCTCAGCCGGTAGAAATAGTTTTCAACAACACCACCTAAGAATACTTCCCTGTGCGTGAATAACGGTGCCCCGGTGAGTATTTCGCTGGCTCACTAATCAGGAGATCGTGTGTTTGATTCCTGGGTTGGCCCAGAAAGTTCCACAAGATTTTCCACTCGGTTTCAATTGTGAGTCTAATCCCTCGAATATGACGAATAATCGTGTACACATATACCTTTGGGCGCAAGTTAAATATTCTCTGGCAGTTGAAAATCGATATAAGAGTAGACCATAGTTCCCAATCAGAGGTACAACTTTTATAGCCAACAGGATCCGCTGTTCTCGATAAGCAGGAGACTTCCGGAGTTGGCCTTGTAAGTTCCTCACTTTTTCCGGCTTGGTTTCACCTTGTCAGTGGTTCATGACGGGGTCCTTTCCGATCAATTGGCGTGCACGTAAAAAAACACACCTTGACTTATAGCTAACAGGAGCCGCGGTTCTCGATAAGCAGGAGGCATCAGGTTCGCTCCCGGTTTTGGCCAAGAAAGGTCCTCGGTTTTCAGGCTTGGTTTCACCTTGTAAGTGGCTCATGACGGCGTGCACGTAAAATACCCCGAGAGTCTGCGTTCAAAATAAAAGTATAGTGCGTCATTATCCTGACAGAATAATTAGCCATGGTGATGGTTTGGCCATTTATTTCAGAAGCCAAACACACAACGATATTTGGTCTACTTAACCACGGTGTATTGTTCTCAAGCTCTCCGATCTCATCCTTAAGTTTCGATATAGAATAAGAAAAGTTTTGCCTTTCAAAGAGTTTTTTTCGGGCATATTTCCAGGGAGGCCATATCTTATTGACAAATTTGACATTATTGAACCCAAAGCCACAACCCTCCTTTCCTGTCTAGTCCCCGAATCTCTACCAAAATTAGCCATGGGGCTCGAGTAGATTTCATAGTTCGTCCAAAGTGTACTGCACCGATTCTTCCGTAACATCCTGTTGAAAATAAATTTTATAATCTCCAATAATGTACTTCTGTTTCAGCAGCAAAAAATAAAACAAAAGTTTTACCTGATTCACCTAATTCTCCGTGCTTTGACAAAGATGTCAATTGCTTATTAGCCATGGAGGAACTTTTAGCTCACTCTAAGAAATCTGCAGTGGCACCACGAGTAGCATTTATACCTAGTGTAAAAACAACAACCCCGGAACCTAAAGCAGCGGTGCAGGCTCACCGTGTAGCTGATAATGTAGTTAATGCTGGTGAACACGCCCAAAGACATCTTTTACTCGTAGAACGTAAGTATTTTTAAACGAGAACTTCACGCTTTGTAATTTAACATTTTTATATAATATTAAAGACCAATTAAAGGTGGGCATTATGCTTTCCGGTTTAAATGGAAATTATGGGAGATTAAATATTAGCGATATTAGGCCTAGCCTCGATTATCATTAGTAAAGTCGCTACGATAAAAAAAAAGTCTCTATTATCCATTATCCAATGTATTCAAATCCAGTAAATATAGCAGGCTAGCGATGGCATCGAGGGTTGATTGTGGTCTGGATACGTTAATTAAGGTCTAATTAATAATTTAGATAACATTTCAGACCTAAAAATTAGACCTGCAATAGGCAGATTTAGCTCTTGTATAATGTATGTTAACTTTTAAAAAATATAGTTTAGTCACTAATCAGTTCAGGGACACGACCGTTACCTGTATAACGTCACTTCCGTTTATATGTTAATTAGTTTGCCATTTGGGATTTGCATGGTTGAGATAATCAATAAAATGTATAAATTTTGAATCTTTGTTGCTAAGGCATTCAGTCCATAAATAGCACTTTAAACATTCTTCGCTAGTCGATGATGCCTATAAATGCACGTTAGGTCTGCTGGACGGAAAACATTGTTACCATTCAAACTGACATCCAAACTATCACGCCAATTAGTTAAAAGCACACACTATCGCGCCATTTAGTTTTAAGTACAAACTAACCCGCCAATGGTTCTAAATGATACCTAATTGTTCTTCACATAGATAACAATTAGGTATCAAACCTAGTGAATATTGTGAGCCATCAACATGTCAGTTAAGTATGTAATGAAGTAATTAGCGCCCTGAGTGAGCCGCTAAAGACGGTTTCCGGTTCGGATAACATTTAAATGGTTAAAACTATCTGATTTTGGTTCAAACTATAAAGTATTGAACTGGGTTCGCTTGATGGTTGTGTTTTCGCAAGATGAATGGAATAATGTTTTTGTATTTTAGTTCCATTGTAGTTTCAGTTTAATTGGCGTAACATAATCAACTAACACAGATTGTCATCCCCAAAAAACGCGATAATCAAAAAATTCATTTTTAAACTCATAAAAGCATGTCATTATACAACTCGACTCTCTTCACAAGGTTTAGCATTAACTCAAACATATTAAATATAGCATGAACTATAATGAAACAGCCTGTGTTCATTCCCTAATTTTATTGGCTATTGTATTGTTTCAGATGAAGTCAATGACGAATCTGACGAAGACATTTTAAATTCCATCAACGATCAACAAGTTAAACGATACCGACGACAAGCTACCGGCGAAGGCGATGGTGGCTCCGGAGCAGGTAACTTTCATAACTTTCACTATCTTATCCAAGTGTTCCCTGTCCATGATCTAAACAGACAGTCCCGATTTTACGGTGATATTCTTTAACTCCGAACATCTAAACCAGTGGTTCTCAACCTTTTTTTGCCAACGGCACACCTTGGAACATATGAAGAAATTGGGGCACACCTGACTAAATATATATGAAAAATATTTGAATTTTTCAAAAAAAAAAAATGGCAAGTCATAGACGACATACAACCGTAGACACAAACTAGTCATAGACACATAGAATGACCCAAACTAAATACATGTAAAGAAAAACACAGCTATGAACTTACGTCGTACATTATTGCATTGTTTCGAATTCCATCAGTCCAATAGCTGGCTTCTTTAGTAGGAAATTTTCTAAGTGTGACGTTCAAAATTCCGTGTCACACTTAGGAAGATCTTGCGACACACAGGTGTGCCGCGGCACACTGGTTGAGAATCACTGATCTAAACGAACGGATATTCGGAAATTTTGTGGTGGCTCAATGAGTAGGACTAGAGTTCCATCCTGGTATTGGCTGAGAAATTGTCAGTCTGCAGAACGGAGGTACAGCGTCTAGTCATTCGGATGGCAACAAAATCCAAGGCCTCGTGTACACTTGATAGTTGGAATTCGAAATAAGAGTAGGTTGTAGCACCGCTGTCCGGGCAAAATTCCCTCGTATGCCCGCTTCATTAAACCGAATAGAGCAGAGATTGGGACGCTAAACGCACGTTCCTTTTTTTTCAGAAGTTGTCATTATTTTGTAGTTCAGTTATTCAATTCGTGCCCTTCAAAATCATTTCTACATGGGCAAGCACCTTGAATACATTTTATTTTCCAACAGTTAAGCCTAGTATGCCTTCACAACCATTATGATCATAACATTTTGTACTACTTCCCATGAATGGCCGTATTACCTGCTTGTATTTAACAGAAGTTCCCAATCTTTATTTATATATATTTACTTACAGGATTCTTCGAAGAAACAACAGACGCTTTGCGTAAGTAATTACCTTTTCTATTATAAACGCTGGTGCAGAAATCATTGCTGCATGAAACCAATAAAAGAAATGAAATGAAATGAAATGGGGTTTAACGTCCTACTCTTCTGCACCTAACCTGGGCTAATTGAAGACGGGCATACGCCATACAGTGTGCTATGAGGGAAATTTTGCCCGGGCAGCGGCGCTACGGCCTCCTCTTATATCGAATTCCAACTGCCAATGGATCTTTTACGTGCACGCCAATGTGTACACGGGACCTCGGTTTTTCGTCCCATCCGAACGACTAGGCAACTGTCCTTGTCAGGCCCTCCGTTCTGCATCACTGACAAGGGGAAACCACGCTGGAAAATCGAGATGAACTTTCTCGGCCAATGCAGGGATCGAACACCCGACCTCCAGGCTAGCGAGCCAGCGCCATACCCACTTAGCCACGTGATCCCCCCCCCCAATAAAAGAAGATGAGAACATTAGAAATCAATCGCCGTATTGGTGAAGAAGAATAATATGATATTATTATGATAAAAGCGTCTTTCAGTTAGCTATATTGTCTTTTTCAGCACCGGCGGAATTGGAATTCTCGATATCCCAAACCATTACTTTAGAAGATACAGTTCAAGGCCCTTTATCAGAGACAGATAGAGCGCTTTATTCAGCAGCATTTAAAAAGGAGGTTAGTTGTTGATTTAGTCAATTTGTCGTACCTTAGGTTTGGCAGACTGAAGCCTGGGGCCTCCGGGCCTTCTGTATAATATTTTTGACGCGATCATAAAGCTTTCTTACACGTACTGTAGTCTTTAACATCCCTCATCATCTTCGGCTTTATGCTAGGTTCTCCACTTTCTTGTGATGCGTTACGAAAGGATTGTTCCCAATGAGTTCACGTACGGATACGTTTCGATACGATCAACACGATTGCTACGACTGACCTCGATATATGATAAGACCTGATAGGATCACTACGATTACTCCGCGATTAATAATAGTGATAGTGGGAATCGATCATTACTTAATTGTGTTTAATACACACTTCTATCTTACTCTAATCGTGAGGGTGGGGGACTGGGGGGGGGGGGGCTCATTCATAAGTTGAATAGCCTAGGACCTATCTTCATCTAAATCATTACGTCACTGACAGTGGGTAATGTATATTCAAGCAAAGCACACAGCCCAGCGATTCTAATTTCAGTTGTATGCACATTTTAAATGTAAATTACATATATACCAACTTAGAAAGGAGATTTACCGCATCAAATTTAATCAACAAATTAACCCATATCGGAAGAAGTTGTGTCCCTTTAAATTAAAATTAATTTACATAATAAAGGTGTTTCTGATTATTCATTTTATTTATTTTTTTTAGCTGGAAAGACTGTACGCTTTTTTCCCCGGATTTAAAAGAGTCGATATTACAGATGTAACACTAAATGCGTATGTAATTTTTCAAATATAATTTGACGATATTTATTTTATTTCATTTCATTTTATTGTATTTTGACCAATGAAAGGATGGTTCGGATAACAAAAAAAGACTTTAAAGAAAGTATTTCGGGTCTGTTTGATCTTTATTGGTCATAATTTTAACTTGAGAATCTAAGGTTTTGATGACATGATATAGATTTTTTTCTTTCAGAGAAGGAAAGCCACAGGTCCAATATTCTATTGTTCTGAATGGTGCGAAAATTGGTGCATTTGGAAGTACACCCGACGAAAGGTTGGCAAACATTCTTGGAGAAATCAAAAGTGCGGGAAATGTTTTCAGTGAATCAAATCCAATCCTTGGAAGCAATATTGTCCCACCAGACCTCAACCTTGAAGACTTTAACCAAACAGGTTGGTTTTCTTTTTGTTTTCTTTGATAACAATAACAGAGGCCCGTGTATACATTGGCGTGCACGTAAAAGATCTCTTGACAGTTGGAATTTGATATTATAAGAGTAGGGCGTAGCGACGCTGTCTGGGAAGAAATTCACTCATTAGGCCAGTGGGACGTTAAATCCCATTTCATTTCATTTTTTTGTAAATAGCGAACCATTAAAGAACTGATATTCCTTTGACATCTTCAACTTTTCACAATGTTATACTTTACAAGGCATTAACAATTCAGTAAATACTGAACTACAAGCAGAGGGGCGCTATGACGAGCTTTGCGTCATTGTTTTGAGTCTTTGCGCCCCCTTGAGTTTTTGTGCCCCCTCGCAAATGGCAAAAATCAAGGTTTTCAACATTATGCTTAACCAGTGTCAAACATATACTGTGGGTCAGTTTCCACACAGACCAATATTACCCGGCGGCAATGGGACCCCCCCCCCCCCCGACACACACACACGCGCACACACATATAAATATTGTTGGGTTTTTTTTTTTGGGGGGGGGGGGCTTGATGGGATCTTGTTCCTCGTGCAAAATCTTTGCTCATCACACCCTGATTTCAAAGGGGTTCCCAATCCCACAAATGACTATCAAGGGCTTTGAGCTTAAATTCAATTACCTTTAACTTCATCTTCAGTCTCTCTTTTACTATCGGATGTGTGTAATGCTGACGATCCTTGTCCAGCTGGTTATATGTGTACAGCCAATAAAACAGACACCGGCGAATATTCAGATGATACCGTCTGTATGCATGCTTGTTACTTTACTAAGTTAAATGTTTTGTGTCAAAATGATGCTATTTGCACACTGGATAGCAACAACGAACCTTATTGCCAGTAAGTCGACATTTGTTATTATTTATTGTACATCTATTCATTTGATTTGATATATACGCTGTTGTTTTTATATCAAGGTTTTTGTGGTCTGTGTGTTTTGTCCGCGAGTTTGGCTGCCACGTTGTATTGATGTTTGTTCCTAATGCATCAAAGCATAAAATTTACTCGATGTCAGCACTAACAAACACTCAGATTTTATTGAGAGGTCACTCCCGTTAAGCGGCCAGTCATGAAAATTCCCTTGAGTGGCTGCTTAATACAGATTCTACTGTATATGGAATAGCAAAATTATTATAAATATGTTTGTTTTAGATGAGAAAACCCTATTCCAATCTTAATAACGCAATTAGGATATCAACATTTTTAAAAGCAATTTTTTTGTCGAAGTTACGACCTTACAGTTCTGAAATTTTGCATAGAGAAGCCCCCCAATGTGATTAGTGATCCTACGCAAAAAAACTATTTGGGTCATAAGTGGCACTTACAACCTTCCAGAACTATGGCATCGAGATATACATTATGCAAGAGCTAAATTTGTCTATTGCAGGTCTTTCTTTAGGTCTGAAATGTTATCTAAATTATTAATTAGACATTAATTAACTTATCCAGACCATAATCAACCTTCGGTGTCATCGCTAGCCTGTGGTATTTACTGGATTAGGATCCGATTCTCATGATTAAATCAGGAAAAGGATAATCGAGACTATGTATTTTATCGTACCGACTTTAGTAATGATGATCGAGGCTACGTCCAAAATTCAATCGCTAAATTCTCGGTTCTGCAAATTCCCTTTATATTACATTGCCAGCTCTTTATCTAATCCCCCATAATGTATCTTTTAGTCAGAATTGGTCGATTTGGTGAACTTTTGGATCAAATTGGTTTTGTTTTTTGATTGTGTATGGTTTAAATGTTATATTTAACTATTATTCGGTGTATAGTGGTTTTAAAAGATGATATTCGTTTTATTAATTTCAGATGCGGAACATCACATAGTGGTGTTTTTTGTGAAAATGAAGGTGCACAGACATCTGACAGTCTTTCTACTGCTGAAGTCATTGGAATTACCACCGGTACTTTGCTTGCTGTTGCAGCCTGTGCATCATGTTGTTTCTTCCTGCTTTTCTGTAGAAAAAAGAGTGGCACGTAAGTAGGCTCTACAGCTCTAAAAATGTTGATCTGTTTTTGAAATTGGCTTTAGAAAGAAATGTGGTTTGGCGTCCACTCGACACAAACTAGGTCATTTCGGAACTAACATATGGTTTAAGTTTATTTTAATAATTCGCTTGCTCGTAGAGGTCTTTAACAGTAGGGGGAAACCAAGGGACCCGGAGAAAACTCTCAACGTTGGACAGACGATCCAACATGCGTAAAACCGGGGAATCGAAACCACGCCAGTTGACTCAATGACAGACTTTATGATACAACGCGCACACGCTAACCATTCGGTCATCCAACCCCCCGAAAATACCTTTAGGAACTTGATTAACAAATTATGTATGTAATGATTTGTATACTGTTTAGAATATTTTATTTTTGATACTGATTAGTACCAGTTTGACGATTGTTAACACAACCTACACCTAGTCCCAATTGATGTCGTTTTGTTGTGCCACGGCTAATATCATTTTTGTTGTTGTTGCTAGGGACATGGAATACAGTTACTATGGTGATGATGATAATTTAATGGAAGGCTATATGGACCAAGCTTCCAGTCTTGGTATCTCAAATATGGTAAGGATTATAATGCTTTATTTAGCCCAACTGTCCCTTTTTTTGAAGTTACAATTTCATATTTTTAAGTTATATTTTTAAAATGTTTTAAAATAAAGCCCTAAAATAGATGGTATCTATAAACAGTCCTACCGTGTTAAAGAATAATCATATTAATCCCATAATTCAATATTGCCAGTTGAGAAGTTGGCAAAAATATCATTTTAAACTTTAAATTCAAACGTTTGAAGATTTGATTTCTTGCTATTATACTGTCATTACTTACTTGAGAACGGCACGAGGAACTTATTGAAACGTTGTTGTGTGAAATAAACTCAGTGATTGTTTTCCATATACATTTGTGTTTTATATCAGATGTTCAGTTACTAAATGCCGTATAAGAATTTAAATCTTATTAATTAAATACGTATGCAAATTATATATGAAAATATACACTTCTACAATGTCTTGGCAAATACTAAACGGCACTGACATAAAGATGCTTCAACTTTTACAATATTGTAGTTTGCAAGTGAATAACAATTCCCTCAAATATGACGAACAGAGATATAAATTATCATTTTTACTGGTTTACATTCAATTTGATGCTTACATTGCTTGTTAATTAATTATTATAATTATCTGTTTTTGATGATTTCAGTATATTGATCGACCACGAGTTTCTATACAGCCACTAGATATATACAACGATCGAAACTTAGGAGCTCAAGCTTAATTAAGGTAAGTTAATCTTTGATATTACAGGTCTTTGTCTGTTTTTTAGCTTCAAATGTTATGTAAATTATTATTCAGATATTTATATACCGAAGTTTAAGTCTCTGAATGTTCTTGCAATCGTTAGCCATTAGATCAAAACAATAGAAGGGCTTCTTACGTCTACCAGTTAAGGATACCTTCACATTTTTGTCTTGTGCGCGTCCCATGGGTGTGCTTCGGGGCAATTATACGATACTTTTATTGGACATAACTACCCTTTAAAATGTATCTTTAACGTTGTATAAACTTTTTTATCCAGGTATGGAGGTTGAATTTCGCTTCGGTATCAACTAAGCCAAAATTCAGCGTTAACCAGAACCGTTCCAAGTGTTATTCCCGGTGCTTTTCCAAAGCTTGATTATGCACTGCCGTAGTGAAAGCATCATCTAAACATTAGTGAAACAAGACCAAATGATCGCGTAAAATCTGAACTCGAATCTTAGTATCTGTTTCGTATATCCAGTGCATATTGTGTATTTCATAGTGTTATTCAATATCAATAAGGGGATGCTAAAGCATAAATAGCCTAGTTTGCCAAGTCTTTCTTGCTCAAAAAAACGGGTGCCATGTTGTGCTCAACGATTGGTTAATTGTGTTACTATTTAATTCTTGTGTCATGTAATCGTGTATTCGTAAGGGCCTTTGTGAATAACCTTTTATTTTAAAACAATTCGTGTATTCTTAAAGTTCTTTTATTTGTATCGATTTGTGTACTTTAAAATGTCTTTTTGTTTCAATTTGTGTATCCTTAAATGTCACTTTTGTTTCAATATGTTTATCTTTAAATGCCTTTTTTGTATATGCTTATTATATTAACTCAATTACTCACGCCTGCTTTTCTTAGTTCGTTATATTTATCACCATCGGGGATCTCATCTACTTACTGAATTTATTAAAGGGACAATAAGCCAGAATAAAAAAAAATCCTTTACCACCAACACATATAAGTCAGAATATTACTTAAATCGACCGCACTAAAACATGTATTATGCAAGAGCTAAATCTGCCTATTGCAAGTCCTTCTTTAGGCCTGAAATGTTATCTAAACTATTAATTAGACATTAATTAACTTATCCAGACCATGATCAACTCTCGATGGCATCGTTAGCCTGTGATGTTTATTGGATTAGGTTCCGATTTGCTGTTCGACTTCCATTTGTAATTAAATCATGAAATAGATAATCGAGACTATGTTTTTTTATCCTACCGACTTTAGTAATGATGATGGAGCCTAGGCCGAAAATTCAATCGCTAAATTCTCCGTTCATAGTGGATCATTTTGGCTGAAATTTTCAGAACTATCAGCTCTTTATCTAATCTCCCATACTGTATCTTTAACTAAATATGATTTGTGAACTTGTTTGTTCTCTAGAGTGCTTAATATTTGCCTACACTTTGTGAACCACCTGGCTTACTGTTCCTTTAATTACAGATCATATTTGCATTACAATAAATATACTAATTTCGTTTCGTTTTACAGATTGAATCAAATGTTAAACAAATAATTTAACGAAACGCAATAACGAGATTTATTTTAATCAGATGCCAAATCGGGTATTACAGTTTAAATATTTAGAATTTAACCCAGGGGCCAATATTCAATTTAATTTCTTTAGAATCATTATTAATCCATTTCTGTTAAATTTGATATTATTTTCTATTTCATCAAGGATGAGAGTTAACAAAATATCAAAGATGAATCAATTGTAATAAATTATTTGTAATAGATTGTTTGAAGGAGATTGTATATTTTTAACATGCATCTTAATGTTCTTATATTATTATGAAATAACCCCCAGAAATGACATGACCTAGAAATATCAAATATCATTTTGGCGACAATGAAAATAATCAGAGATTTCTCGACTGAACTAAGATAAAAACGATTACCAATGTACTGTGGACGCGGAACTGAGAATGACGTCATCGCAACCGTCTTTGAATTGTTACGTCATATCAAAAATCGAAGTAAAACGATGCGCATGGAACAGGTATGCCAAGTGTTAAGTCGATCGTACTTGAATTGGCGGACCCTTGGACTTTTTACGAACAGCGTCGCACAAAACATCAACAAAAAGAACGGTTAGGGCTTAGTTCCGGATCCAATAAAAGAGGTTTTTTTTATAACGTGTTTTCGTGATCATAATTTTTTTTCTTGAACCCCATAAACTAGATATTGTAATTTTTAAACATTGTTACGGAAATTATCTTGAAATTTGCTATTGCCTTGATATAGCCTTCATTTATTTGTTTTTCAAAGAGGGAAATTTTTTATTGGTATTGTTTTATTTATTATGCGGGATAAAATGGTCAACACCTTATTCTAAAATCCTTTGTATTTTTTTCAGAGTTGAATAATTATTATTATATAATATAATAAAAAGAAATCATCCCATTTATCCTTGAACGTAGAATCAAAACTCTTCGTGTTTCACACAATAATGAAACAAAAAGATGTCTTTAGCTTTATCCCTTTTTATTATACTTTCTCCTTGGAAACATGAGTCCGAACGCTGGTCGTTCACAAAGGACAAAAAGTCATTCTTATTGTTAAAATAATTTTCACCTATGTATTATAGAAATTATATTGTTAATAATTGATATTTATTAAAAGATCCAAATAAGAAAGATGTGTATGTGATAACATGGGGTAATTTGCTTTTGCGTTTAATTGAGAAATGGTGTTAAGTTACGTCATACGGCATATTGCCGTCCTCCTGGTGAAACTCTATAATATAGATGAGTCAAGTACACTGTTTAATGCCATCTTCCTGGAGAAACTCAGTACTATGGACCCAAAGTGTTAGTGGTTAAGTGCACGATAGAATCTTTGCTGGAACTCTCTATACGATAGATCCAAACTGAGCGGAGTCAATTGTATGGTAAAATTATGATACGGCATAATGGTTTATAATATAGATGAGTCAAGTACACTGTATAATGCCGTCTTCCTGGAGAAACTCAGTACTATGGGTCCAAAGTGTTAGTGGTTAAGTGCGCGGTAGAATCTTGCTGGAGCCCTATACGATAGATCCAAATCCAACTGAGCGGAGTCAATTGTACGGTAAAATTATGATGAAAGTCTATATGATACATCCAAAGTATACACGGATTATTGTTGTCACCCTGCCCAAATTCAATACGGTAGTCTCAAATTGTAATGGTTGAATTACGTGGCATAATGTCCTCTTCCAGCTAAAACTATAGAAGACATATCTAAAGTGTGGGGAGATGTCGTCTCCAGTTGCAACTTTATGCGATAGATCCAAAGGCGGTAGGAACTCGTCTTCCTAACGAGTCAAATGGTCTTCATTAGCCCTTTCGGAGCAGAACAATGAGACGTTAAACCTCATTTCATATAATTATGTCCTTTTGCTGAAACTCGGTACGTCCTCCTATGATGAAACTCTATACGATAGATCCTAGGAACATGTCTTTCCAACGTGTCAAGTGCACGGTATAATGATGTCCTCCTACTGATATATCAAACTGTAATGAGCCAAGTGCACGGTTCAATGCCGTTTTCCAAAGTATAGCATCATCCCCAGCTGTCATCCAATAAATAAACGCAAAGGCACAGAATTCAGAAAGAGTAAGATTCCATGAGTGCTATACCCAGTCCTCTGGTCTAACACACACATACCCACCCCTCCCCCAACACACACACACATACCATTAAGTGTGATAAACATTTATGAAATGATATGAAATAGAGTTTAACGTCCGTCGATTCTTACGGACAGGTGGACATTAAACCTTATCTCATTGCATATCTTATTTCGTTTGTTGTTATGGATTTGTCAGACGGTTATTTTTTTCCGATCACTACGATATTAGGCCATGGTATCCATATTCACATATCCCCACAATGGATAACAAAACATCATATATTTTAATAGCTTGATCTTTAATTGTCTTCCTTACTGTCGACGTTGAACATATACTCAGAGAAAAACGTATCGCAACTATTTGAATGTGTTAGTTATTTTACCTTCTGGAAAGTATTCAGTTTTGTCCGGGCAGCGGATCTGTACAATCTACTATTATATCGACTTCCAACTGCGATGGGATCTTTTACTTGTGTACGGGTATACGTCATACATTGTACATTGAGGGAAATTTTGCCCGGACAGCGGCGCTACGACCTACTCTTATATCGAATTTCAACTGCTATGGGATCATTTACGTGCATACGGATATGCCCCATACAGTGTGCTTTGAGGGACATTTTGCCTACTCTTATATCGAATTCCAACCGCTTGGGGATCCGATGGGCTTTCTCAGCGCCTATTAGCATTCTATATCGATTCGAAAGGGCTGATGTCACTGTCATTTCCAAATCACAGCTATTATAATCAAAAAATCAAAGAAAGTATAAACAGATTACATTATCAGTGAGAGATGTTAGTAAAAATACAAAATGATGTGTGTGAGTTAGTTGTATTTTACGTCCGCTTCCACCTAGGTGATATCGCAGACAAAACAAAATGTCCGCTGAGGATGCTTAAAGGGAGAGAATTCACTTTTCACTTGGTTTAATTTCGACTGTACTTGTGTACAGAGAGAACAAAATGGGGTTTAACGTTCACTCGCCATAAACTAGGTCATTTCGGGACTAATATATGGTTCAGTTTTATTTCAATTATAACATATGAGACTATCAATTGAGAGATAATAGCTGTCCTAAATTTTATCTTCTGATCTGTAGCTGTTAAAGTGATTGGGTAAGAATGGTGTGAAATTTAAATTTCGTTTACGTGATAGCCCGCAGGTTAAAGATACACTTTCAAGTAAATACTGTACTGTTAGTAAAATATTTTAATTTTCACTTTGTCAAGGGCCATAATTTTTTTATCTGAATACAAAAATGTTCTCCCTTGTAGGTGTTGCGACTAGTTTACAACAAGACATCATTTATGAGTTAGTGGATGGCCGGATGGGTAGCGCGTGCGCGTTGCATCATAAGGTATGTCATTGAGTCAACAGGCGTGGTTTCGATTCCCCGGTTGTACGTGACAAGGAGTAGGGTCGCCTGTCTAGCCTCGTGGGTTTTCTCCGATTTCCACCCACTGCTAAAGACCCCTCCGCTCAATAGTCACTATCATCCAGAAAGATATTCTACGACTATATGTCTGGATGCGTTGTCAACATTGAGAATAATAGGTCATTGGCTATATTATCCAGTCTTTTACATTATCATAAACAATGTCTAAGGGAGGTAACTAGTCATAAAACAAGATGTTAGCACCCATGATATTAATTTAATCCTTATCCTTATCATTGCAGCGTATGTATGTAAGGCCATGGGGGCCTTTTGTTGATCGTAAGGTCAATTACAATCATAATAAGTATTTGGCACAGTTATGATAATGTTAATATTCCCCACTGGGTCATTGTGGCGTATCAAGTTGTATATCGTGTGTCATGGCACAAAACGAGAGTTCCAGTCACAAAGCGTCCTGGCTCATAACTTAATGATTTAATTTAAACACAATATACATAATCAAGTTCAGTTTCTGGAATACTCTAGTTTTAATCATCATCAATGTTATAATTTGCAAATGCACCCCCCCCCCCCTCTCTCTCTCTCTCTCTCTCCCTCTCTCTCTCTCTGATTTAGGAGATAAACACCATCCGTTTAGAATTAAGGTCTCCTATCCTGCTTCGTGGGCTGATGCTGCAAACCCCTGTCCCCTGACTTGGCCAAAGATACTGGATAATCAACCACATAAAAAAACAAACTCCCGGTTACGCATGGGCACTGGAACTTTTTGTCAAATATTAACAACGGTCCAGACCCTCCGTACGTTCAAGACTAGGAGGCTCGCTGCAAACCCCTGCCCCCCCCCCCTCTCTCTCTCTCTCTCTCACGAGCGCTTTTAGATTGCTGTGATATATCGAAATTTGATACTAAGATTATTATTCGACTACCCTATAAATCCACCTTTTGCAAACAACAGTTAAAATAAATTTGTAACTGAATCCACGACGATCTTATCAGTGACCTACATTTATTTATTCGTTGTCAATATTTCATATAATGCATCCTGTAGTTGGATTATTTTGGCCGTTGTTTTTAGTAAGTACAAAGGTAGGTATTTGTATATTAATATTCACGTTTTACAATTTTCATACAAGGTATTGGCTATATTTTAATTGCTTAGAAAATGTACCAAAGTTGCGGCAAAATTTAAATAATTCATCACAGTCCGGTATAAAACTTGGTTTTTAAGTCTTTTTTAGATATATTAAATTGCTTAGAAAATAAACAAAATGGCGGTAAAAATCAATTATAAAACTTGGTGTTCAGACGTTGTTCAGCCATCAGTAATGAAGGACAATTTCTCCCCGCGCAATCACTAAGGCCTAACTCACAACCCATCGTAAGTCTTTTGATACGCACGGGTCGTAAGGTTTGGTAGCTCGCAAACCAGCCGCATGTAACCGAGTAAAAAATTTTGTATGTGCAAGACCAAAAGTCTCTACGGCCAGTCTGCAATCTTCTAGGGTGCAGACCACACGCAAGTGACGCGTAACTCTCACGCACGGGTTTATTAAAATTTTAAGGCTAACACGTTGTACATTTTGTAATATAGTATAGTAAATTCCTGGTCCTTATGCGTGTGACGTCATCAATGTGTGTGAATTTTTCATACGTGATACGGCACACGGATACGGCAGCACGTACCGAACAGCTTTCATACGGAAAAGGTCCGTATAACATCGTTGTCTTTTCATCGGTTTTTTTTTTCGTTTTTTTTTTTTTACTATTTTTAGACGCTGAAATGTTGTGTCATAGCGTTTTTATGAATCTATGTGTATCCTAGAACACGAAGGTGTATATTTGAGGTGATTTTAACCATGATAAAGACTGGAATTTAATCATTATTTTTGATGAGTTTTTCTCGGAATTTTCATATTTTTCCCACTTGTCTGTCAGCATGCTGATTGATCTACGTGCTAAATTTAGGGAGGTGCGACCATGCAAATCTGTAAATGATGTGATTCTACAGTAAACGGCTATAAACTTTCTTCACTTGACTCGCACTGATGGTGATTTTATTAGATAACCGCCATCATGTTGTAATAGAACTAAGCTCAGATCAGCTACTCCTACGTACGCGGTGCGAAAGTCTGCCAAAATTCTAAAACCACTGTGACGCAACATATGAAGTATACGATACGGATACACAATACGGATGTGAAAAATCCGCTTGCCAAAAGTCCTTAATAATGGGCTTACGTCTACTCATTAGAGTGTGATACGTAAAACATGGGGAAATCCATGAGATTACGTAGGAGGTTGTTCTTATTGTCACGTACCACAATGGAGTAGAAAGGCATCGACACCGTAATTCCTGTCTGTGTTTACAATTTAATGAATCTTGGAATTTGGAGATTATGTGAACGACATCTGTAAAATTCGTGGGGTCAATTCGTAATCTCACAGAAGATGCTACTGAAACCAAATCTATACCCTTTGTGCTGTCCAGAACTGTCTATTATAATTACCATAATCCCCCGTCTTCATTAGCCCAGTCGCAGCAGAACAGTAGAACGTTAAACCCCACTTCATATCATTTATTACGATAATCCATCCGAAAAGCTCCAATGAATTCAAGATCGAG